GCAAACATATGGAAGGAATCTGTTCCAGACTGCATTTGTCTTTTGCCGAAGCTCAGACTCTGGCACTGGAACGGGAACGTTGGAAGCTCTGTCTGACGCGTCTGCCTCCGCAACCCGAAAGGAGAAGCGGCGATGGAAGATGAAGATGAAAGCGATGGCAGACTACATGCCAGAAAAACGAAGCTTGCAAAAACGTGCCAATCGGATCATCCTAGGATTGCACATCAAACCGGAAAAAAAGAAACAGTCAGACCTAGATGGTCGTAACAAGATGTAGCCAATTCCGCCATGGCGGTTACAATAGAAGCCACAACTTTGTGTCGCGACTGACATCTTAGCCACATAGCAGAAAGGTTGCCTCAAAGTTGCCACTGAACTGAAAGAACTTGCGAATCAGAATGATTCAGAAATACTTCCTGCTAGCATTGCCGTACTAGCTATACAAAAAATCGTGGTCCATGCCTTACGATCAAGCACTATAGCAGGGAATCAAAAGAAGACGTCAGACCGGCGTGTTCAGAAACAACTACAAGATATTATTTGCCTCACAGGAACAGCACGAGCAGTTTTGAATCAGAAATTCAAAACACCGGACCCAGAAGCGATACACAATGAATGGCGCCAAATCTGGAAACATCAATACGAACATGATGGAGGAGTGAACTCGCTGATGAAGAAAACTGAAGAGAACTCTCCCCGAAACATCGCAATATCACAATTCAGACTAATGCAATCTTCTCGGATCAAACTTAGAGATATGTTAAATGCCTCTAAAAAGACACGCAGCTGAAAAACATTGTGACTAGATGACATTCAAAGTCACTGGTCAAAATATTTCACACGCACCAAGGTGTACTGACATCGCAGTTTCAGGCCATATTAGAGGATCTTAACCTCATGCGTCGTTTATTAACCGAAGGAATAACGTATATATCACCCAGAGAAATGGTTGGGACCAAAAATAAAACCTTTCGACCAATAACATGCCCGCTGACTGTATACAAACTCCTAGCGTCTGTACTGGCGATGAAGATCAGCTCGCATCTTCTTGCGAATACCATCTCAACAGAAGCGCAAAATGGCTGCAGGCAAAGAAGCTAAGGTAATAAAGTGCTGCATATGATTGATTCAGTTGTTACCAACCAAGTCCGGCATGCAAAAAATAATAATGTACTTGGATGGATTAATTATAAGAAAGAGTTTGACTCGGTACCTCATTCATAGCAGCTGAAGTGTTGCAAATGTGCATGGGTGATGAGACTGTCGTTGCCCTGACGGTCTACTCTGAGGAAGCGTGGAAAATGCGATAGTGTGTTGGAAGATCTCCGTATCAGTACGAAACGAAAATGGTCCGAATCGGAAGAGGCGTTTCTCAGGGAAACAACCTCAGTCCTTTTTGGTTTTACTTAGCATCAAACCCGCTTAATAAGCTGTTAAACAAACCATAATACAGCTACGTTATCAAGAACAAGAACAATATGAAGTTCTCCCACATCTTCTACACTGATGATCTGAAACTGTACGTCACAAATGGAAGCTTCGAATGCCTGACCTGGTATCTAGCTATAGCCGTTATTCGGAATGGCATTCCATCTAAGGAAATGTGCATTTATGCATGCCGAAAGCAAAGCCGTGCAACTCGAGGATGGGATAGAAAATCAGGAACTAAACCTGAACGCAAGTTCTAAATAGCTAGGACTGCAAAAACTTCTCCGAATCGATTCCAGGTATGTGAAAGAAAGTGCGATGAAGAAATTGAACACGTGACTCACTTTGGTCTTGAAACTACAGCCTTCTTCTATAAATAAAATCGTAGCTGTCAATAACTGTGCTATGCCTGTCCTAGCGTATACATTTTGAATCCTCAAATGGTCCCAGACCCATCCCCCCCTCGATGATCTTAAACGAATGATATGATCTACATTGACGAATTTCCGCATGCATCATCCGAGGCAACTTGTCGCCAGGCAATATTTACCAACAAGGCACAGCTGCCGCGGTGTGCTGAACGCTGCTGATCCTGCAACGCCGAAACGAAGACATTTAGTGCATACTTTCTGACGTTAGATTCAGTTTTACAGACAGTCATAACATGAGCAGACACAGCATATGCACTGCTAAAGCTACGTGTGAGAGATCATGTAGTAGAGACCTGTAATATCCAGACATGATGGACAAAAGAACAAACTTCTTTACTACTTCACATTACAATTTCGCCTTCACGCAATGTTTTTTGGATTTACACCTTGTACTGATCACTATATTGGATAGCCAGCTATCAGCTGGTCAAGAAGAAATGCAGCCGAAAGTGGGGAGGGAAGAGGAGCATGGACAACATGATCGCCACTTCATCCGTTCTGGCATGATCATACCAGAATACAATGTCAAAGACTTGCTACATGTTTCATGCCTGGCTGCGGCGAAGAAAGATAACGTAAATTACTTGCTCTAGAGAAATCACGGTTAAGGGAAAGACTGCTGGTTCTCCGAATTTCGAAGCCGATCTCTTTGCCACATAGCCACAGCGTCTGACTTGGAAAAGTTGCTTGCTCGGTTTCTAGAGAAAGAATAACTGTTCTCGAAAACAAAATGATCCTGTAGTGACAATACAAAATCAAGTGGCGTTTACGAAAAACACCAGTGTCCGAAGTAAGGATATCCACGAGAACTTTGGTGCATAGTAGGTGCTTCTTCAGATTGCGAAGTCACAATTGCGACGGGTCTAGAAAGGAAGACCGATCAGCAACTACTTGCCCAACAGACCGGCCGAAGACACGAGGAACAGCCCAGAATAACCTTGGGCAAGTGCAGAGAACGGCTGAGCTTCAGACTAGGGATAATTTCTGAAACAGCTAAAAGCTGGCACGGGATCGGGAACGCTGAAAACACGACCTGAGGTTTCTGCTTCCTCAGCCCGAAATAATAAGCGGTCCTCGAAACTGACTGAAACCCATCTGAAAGAAGCACATCTGAAATACATGCAGGATGCGCCGCAGTACAAAAGAATCTATCCAACATATT